TGTGACTGGAGCAGAAGAGAGGAGTCTTACTTCTGAACAGTAGGCTACATTCCAAACATGCAGAAAGCCAGAGGTTTCTACTCACACCCCTCTCTGTCAAGGCAAGCGAAAGGCATTATCACAAAACAAGGGCCTATTCCAGTCAGGCAAAAGCATTCAAGAAGTGTGCCAAGCAGGACTGGTAAGGGGCATTGCTTTGGGAACATCCTGAGGGCCAAATAAAGAGGCATGGGGCCACATTCAGTTCCTGGGCATGAAATTCTCCATCCCTGTCCTAAAATCCAAATACTGCCTTGCATGCAGCCTGAGCCCCTCTACATCTACTCAGAAGGAAATGCTCTGTATTAACTTGGACTTTCAAGTAAATGTACACCAGATTTCAGTTTAATCTATAATGAAATTCCCTCTCTATTCTCTGTGTAGTTGTTTTTAATTTTAAAAACTGAGTACGGTAACTCTGCCCCTCTATCGTTATAGAAATGAATCATCTTTTCAAGACTGCATTTGATGTCCAGCTGGTTAGATAGTCTGCATATGTGGAAAAAAATATATTAGCTTTACCTTTTCACCTCACTTGCAACTCATAATATACTAACTGCCACCATGTCTCTTATTGCTGGTATTGATCTTTCCCAAGCAAGAATCAAAAGTGGCCACAAGTTACATGTGCAACATTGGCATAATCATAAAAGAAACCAGCAAGCTAGCTAATTAAATAGAAAGGAACAATTACAAAGTGGGGCTATATGTTCAGATTGCCAAAGTTCAGGGAGGAAGTTTTTGTGTGTGACACAAAGCCCTATTTAAACCTGCCTGTGTGGGATTAATTGAGGGTAGGTGTGGTCCAGCAAGGAGGTAAGTGATTTGAATACTTGCACTGAGCTGCTTCGGGGTATTATTCATATTATTATTATATTTCTATACTGCAAAAACACTTGGGTTTAGATAATGCTTAGGTATTGTTGTCATTTTTAGAATGCTATACTGCTTTTCAATGAAATTTCAAAGCAGTGTGCCCTGTTTAAAAAAAATACAATAATAAGAGCAAAAATAAAATAAAATAAAACTTCAGAGGTAAAAAAAATATGTAATAAGCATTTGAAAGTTTGTGGGTTTGTTTGTTTGTTTTAAGAAGTAGTGGCTCACCTCATGTGTCTACCTGGGAGTAAGTCCCTTTGAATTTGATGGAGCTTGCGTGTGAGTAGACATGCAAAAGTTTGCACTGTGAATGTGTCTTTGGAAGGGCAGTCTAGTGGGGGCTTCACATGCCTCTCACTGTAAAACCTTTGAAAGGTTTGGAGCTATAGCAAATAAAGAAACATGCTTTTCATTAAAAGATGCAATTTGTCTGATCTTAAATGTGAGGTGTGGTGAATGGAGGGCATATTCCATTATTATTTGAACTTCAGAAACTAGTGGGGCGGTCACTTAAGCATTGTCCCCACCAAAAGAGAGGATAGATTTGCAGATCTGCAAATATAGAAATGGCAGGGCTGTATCCAACTAACTTCTATCCATTGAAAAGGATGAACCCAATTCATGTCCATTGGTTTATTGGGTTTCATCTGAGCCGAACATGGTTGGATGCAACCAGATTATTATAATTTAAACAGAAATACGTAGAGGGAAGGACTGTGACCAGGTGATCTGGGTGCTTAACCATTAAGGGGCAACTTCACAGCCCCTCCTCCCGCTCCTCTACCTTCTTATGGTTCTTTATCTTAAAATTGGACTTTCCTTCATAAAGCGGGGCACGTGGGTCACCCTAGAGGCTGATGGTTTAGTCCTGTGAAAAACAACCACAGTTTTTAGTCTTGCTTCCAAATGACTAATTGGAGTTCTTGGGAATATAAATCACTATGGTTAATAGCTGGACCTGCCCATCAAAATGAAAGATCTCCTCTCTCCTTGAACTCTAGTCAGAATGGTTTTATTTCTCAGCAGGAAAACACACATACGGGCATATCTTTGGGCAGCCATAGCCACAGAGCCACTTGGAAGATTAGGGGGTCTGACTCGAGGTGCCTTGTTAATGGTGTGATCCAGTTCAGATGCATGAGACTCATTCTTGAATCACCTCATAATTCAGCTTATGCACAGATCCAATACGCATCCCTAGCATATACCTGAACTAAATAATGGAACATATGAGGCAGTGTATATATTTGTGATATTACAACACTATTTATATAACACTTAGCATACTAAAGAGAATAGATGTTAAACATAAACAAAACAGGATGGAAGATACAGCTTGATAAATTAGGATCTGAATTTGCTAAAACAGTAAGTGGGGTTTGGATGTGGCTGAAATCTCATGCAAAGTGAATATTTTGCCCCCTCCAACACTCCAACGAAGGTTTTGTTGTGGTGAGCTCAATGCAATTGTGTCTGACTATGGCACCCTACGGCTGGCTTTGTCTTCCAGTGAGTGAGGGTAGATTAAGACTACAGTGTAAGGGAAGCTTGATAGGAAACTAATCTTATTCCTAGGCAGGCTACTGGTACCAACAAATCCTTTCTAGAGGCTACAGTAATATCCTACTACTGGCACATGACACATAAGCTGCTTCCTTAAAATTGCTATATCTTTGATACAAGGGCTGGTGTCATTGAGCAATAGGTTTCTGAGACAAAAGTAAGTCTTGAATTCTGAACTGAATTTCCCATTGTTGAACACAAAGTCAAGTTCAAGTCTCCCTTTCCTCACCATATGAACATGACTGGAACCTTACCCACTTTTTGGAAAATGTCATTGGGCTCAGACCATAAATATCAATTTCAGAGTGGCTTAAACCACAAAGCAAAGGGCAGTAAGCATACTTAGGGAGCCATCCAAACCTGAGATCCACTGGGCTGAGTAGTGGATCTCTGGCTGAGCCTGGGTTCAGTGGGGACTAAGCTGGCTGATGTCCCTTATCATGGCTCAGCCAGTGATACACTGGTGTAAGTTTTCTATCTTGGCTCAGCCAAAGCCAACTGAGCCAAGACCAGGGCAAGTCCTGAAAAGGGCAGGGGGAGACTTGCCCCTATTCCACTCCCAGTTCATGCTTAGTCACATGACTAGCAACCCAGTGGAGGTTAAACTGGTAAAAAGAGTGGTGTAAGTCAAACCCTGATTAAAGGCTTGATCAAGCTCAGTTAGCCAGCAGTAGCCCTGCTCTTGAAAAGAGTTTGGAATGGGGTAAATTTCACTGGCCTTATCTACTACTGGTTTCCTGTAGTTTGGATTGCTCTTTTCTGTGTGAAGTTCTGTCATTATTGGGAGAAAGACCCGCTGAATTCCAAGTGAATGTGGGGTATGGAAGAGATTTTGGACAGAGCCCAAATCAAGAACTGAAGCAAGGCCACCTGGGACTTTTCTGATTCAGTGTTGTGTCTCTCAGAAGAGCCCAGAACTGAAAATGAGATTTCCAAAGTGTTTCAGATTGCCTTCTTCTTGTCTGTTATTTGAGCTTTGTTAGTTCTGCTTGTGGTGCTTTCTCAGAAAATGCTAGTTATTCAAGCCCTTCTGCCTCTTTTGCCATGTGCTCACTCAAATTGTCTTTGCACTTAGTTTATGTGGCTTTTGGTGCTAATTGAGCAGAATATAAACCTGAAGTTGTGGGGGGGGGTTGTTTTTTGTTTATTTTTATTGTTCATTCATTGTAACTCCCTAGTTCCTGCCCCCATCATTCTGGAAGTTGGCAGGTTACTTTCCTGGGGCATTTCCACAAAACCACAGGGAGGGAAGCAATTTTGTTTTTGTTCTCCTGCTCTCCCATCAACTTTAAATGTATCTAACAGAAAGCCCTAGATCAATTGGTTTGCAATTTTGCAACCTTTTTACCTAGGGGGTACCTCTTTCATGTTTGTTGTTTGCAGACAAGTTGCCCATAAGACAACTGGGTAGGGAATATTAAGTAAGGTCTTTTCACACACATTGTAAAGGCTGCCCTTGCAGGAACAAAAGAAACAATCCTCTATTGCTATTCTTCTCAAATTTGGCAGGACTAAACTCCTCGGAAGGGGCTGTCGTGCTTGCAAATTTCATCCAATTCTGCCAAAAAGTTGCAACCATCTTTTGATTCTCCCCTAAAGGTGAATGGGGAAAGGTACAAAACTTCACTTTTTCCAAATTAGGTTTCTGATTCAGACCCCAGAACCTCCAATGAAGGAGAGTCAACCGCCATCCAAGGGATTCTGTTCCACTGTTGAAGAGCTCTTACCATCAAAAAGTCATTCCTAATGCTTAGTCAGAATCATCTTTCTTTCAGTTTGAATCCGTTGCTTGGGTCCTACCCTGTGGAGCAGCAGAAAATAAGATAATCCATAGCCTGGTATCAATCCTTGCAAACTAGCTATAGCTTTTCATAACTTTGTCCAACTTTATTTTTTGATAACTGCATGATCATCAATCCAACACCTTCCTATTGTTACATCTGCTAGTTCAGCCTTTTTCCGATGTGATGCCCCCCAGTTGTTTTGCTTTACAGCTCCCATCTCCTGTGATCATTTACCATTGCTGGGTGAGGATGATGGGAATCTTAGTCCAAAATATCTGGAGAGCACTATGTAGGGTTGCTAAAAAATTACCAATGTTTTCCTAATCTGTTTTCTTTTTCTTTCTTGTCAGAAGGCCCTGAGGGGTTGTAAGTTGCTCCATAACTTGTTGCAGAAAGATATCAAGCATGGGCAACAGGAATAGCAAGCGGTCCCGAGAAGCGAACCCCATTATTCCAAGGTATACACTCACATCACCTTCATTCAGTGCTTGTGCACGAAGACCCTGGCATGCTTCCATGGGCACTAGAAAGAGCTTTTATCCCAACAGGACTAAGCAAGAAAGGACTAAGCAATCTGCAGGTGCCCCAGGTGCCCCAAAGTTTATACAAAGACTAATGCATGCTCCCATGGGGAATAGAATGAGCTATTGTCCCCAAAGGACTATGGAAGAGATTGGGCAGGATACAGACCACCAAACTTTTTCAAGGTTTACACCAAGACCACAGGATGCTTCCATGGGGACCAAAGAGAGCTGTACTTCCAAGGGGTCTATAGAAGGGACTGAGGACATTGCAAGTGACCCACCTAGTTCAAAGTTTACACCAGGAGTGCAGGATGCTTCCATGCCAACTGGAAAAAGCTGTTCTCCCAATAAGTCTATAGAAGTGACTGTGCAAGTTGAAAGTCGCCCACCTAATTCAAAGATTAACCAAGATACAGCATTGGCTTCCTCTGGTCAGCAAGACATTGGAACTCAGAAACCAGCCAAAGAGTCTGCTGTGCAAACAGCTGATGCTAGCCATCAGGCCACCATGACTATGGCAGATACCTGGAGCTTAGATGACCTGGAGCTAGAAATCCAAGCCATGCTGCATATCCAGGTGCTGAGAGGGCTGCGCAACCAGAGGAAGAAGGTAAGGGCTGCTAAAGAAAGGAGAAGGTGGTCAAGGTGGTCAAAGAGACGAGGTGTCTTCCGCATCACTGGGAGATACCGTCTCTCACCAATAATGGAGGAAGCCTCACTGTCTGAAGTGAAGAGAAATGGAGATGATCAGAAGAAAATGGAAAACCCGAAGAGCCAACCATTCGTGAATGATGCTCCACCTGTCCTGGATGCCCCTCATGAAGATATGGATGCTCTACGTACTCAAGGCAACAGTCAATGAACTCCAACCTACTGTAACAAGCACAGAAAAGATGGACTTCCATGCTATGGCAGACAATACACACAATGGTTCCAAACATTTAAACCTTCAGAAAGACTGACTGCTGGATAATGATGGTCAAGATGGAAGCTAGTGATAGGACAACTATATACAGTGAATGAGATCCGGGCTCTTGCACAACAAGTGTGTGAGCCATTGGGGGGGGGGAGAATACCGAAAACATATTGAAGAAGAAATCTGGACATATCTGATTGCTCTAATGGACTTATTTAGGGGTGAGTAGGTGACACCCTTACTGGGATTGCCTTATTCTCACTATATATGACACCTTGCTTTATGTGGATTTTAAACTTGCTGGCCCATGGATGATCTCCTTTTCCTTTCCTGATGCTATGATTGTTGACACCAGGATCTTAAAGTGATCAAGCCAATCTACCTGCAGAACCTCTGGCCCAACCTAGAATGCAAAGAGTCTGAAGTCAAGCTTCCAGATAAGTCAACTGCTAACACTTGCAGAATGCAACCTATACCAGAAAACCTACTTAAACCTGAGGTAGCTGGGAGAACTGAACTTCCATGTAGGGGCAACAATCCATGCAGCAGAATATGCAGCACCCTGAGGACCTGCTCGTTGTGCAGACCACTGAAAACAACTTTTTCTAGACTAAGAAGAATGACTAAGGCCTCCCAGGTTTCAAAGGCAGTAGAAAACCAGGATGCAGAAAAAGGGCTCTCCAAAAGAGATGCCAAATGTCTTCTTACAAACAGGACTGCAATTCCTTCTGCCAGTCAGTCTGCATTTATTCTGGAGGCAACTTGCTGATTTTGATGAAGTACAACATCTTCTTTTCATTCTGCTTGACTGTATCAGAGCTCATTCATTTTCTCATCTAATGCTAGATCTTCAGTTCTAAAACACAGTGCATGTGTGTGCATGCTTTCAGGCACCCAGGACTGCTGCTAAGCATCAGAGACTTTCATTTTGATGTAGTTCATAACTCATTTTGCTTGCAGCTCCTAACTGAGCACATTTCTGACCCTTCTTTCAGGTTTTCACATTCTTGTTGTAACCTCTCTTCCTTCAGCAGAACTGGATTACTTGTCTTCCTGATGCTCATTGAAGAGGGAACAGGAGACTTCTGCAGCACAAGGATCATGTGTGAAATATCCTTCTTCTTGGAGACTAACTATGGCAGGCCTTTCATTTCAGTCCCGAAAAACTGCAGCCTCAGAGGGGATAATGCTACCAGTGTATGCACAGAGCCCCAAAGTTCAGCAGACAAATCAGTTGCTTCTGATAGTTAACTACAACACAAATTTCTTAACTAGACTTGGCCTTTGATGTATTACAGCCTTCTCTAACCTGGAGCCCTCCAAATATATTGGACCACAAATCCCATCATCCCTCACCATTAGCTATTCTGCCTGGGGCTGATGGGAGTTGTAGCACAAACATCTGGAAGACACCACGTTTGAGAACACTGACCTATGCTATAATCTATTCAACACTCTGTAGAGCAGGCATGGGGAATCTGTGGCCCTCTGGATGTTGGACAACAAATCCCATCACCCCTAACATTGCCCACACTGGCTGGGACTGATGGGAGTTGAGGTCAAATATCTGGAGGATCAAAGGTCCCCCATCTCTGCTGCAGTGCCAGCTCAAAAGTCATGCAAGATCTATGCCCAGGTGATTTACCTGCATTATGAGTTTGCAATTTGGTGTGTGGGGAGGAGGGACACCTACAGAAATCTTGTGGAGCAGGTGCTTTAATACAATTGCTGGGAAATGACTTAGACGCTACTGAATTGAACTTTGTTCTGACTTGGTAGACGAAACTGGACCATCTTTGTTTTTTTAATCCTAACCATTTGGAAGGTGTAGCACCTCAGACAGCATGGGATGGAACAAATTGATCCCATGACTCCTAACTGACGTGTCCTCAAAAGCAAAGGCAGAGCAGGTTTCTTGCTATATATAGAGAGAGGGGATGAAATTTATGATGGATAATACCTAGCATCTCTAGATGGGTTTATATAAACGGTTGTAATCTTGCTTAGCTGGATGTTTTTACAGTGTGTGCTTGTATTGTTCTTTTTAAATGTCAGGTGTATGTAATCACTGACAGGTTGGAAACTGATGTCTTGTTTTTGAAAAAATCTCTCAATAAAATCAATTTTACAAACATTTTGCTTTGTGGACATTTCCCCCCCTACAGCATCAGCAAGTAATACCACTGTGAGCATAGCTTCCAAAAGTTCTTCAGCAGGGAGGGGTGTTTGGGAATCGCTAAAAGGAACGATGCTCTGAGCCATTACAACTGCTCTAGCTTTTTCATATACAGTGGTACCTCGGGTTATGCACTTAATTTGTTCGGAGGTCCGTTCTTAACCTGAAACTGTTCTTAACCTGAAGCACCACTTTAGCTAATGGGGCCTCCTGCTGCCGCCGTGCCACCGGAGCACGATTTCTGTTCTCATCCTGAAGCAAAGTTCTTAACCTGAAGCACTATTTCTGGGTTAGCTGAGTCTGTAACCTGAAGTGTATGTAACCTGAAGCATATGTAAACCCAAGGTACCACTGTAATGAATCCGAGGCAAAAACCTCTTGCCAAATGGCCATTCTGACTCCATGCTGCTGTATTACTTTTAATCTCCCCTCCCATGCAAGTCAGGGGTGGGCAGCAGCGTTGGCCCAAACCACTTTGCTGCTTGATGGCAGTCCAATCTCCATCCATCTATGAAAGCTGACTAGATTGACAGTTGAATCTTATTTCAACACTGGTGACAGGGAACCACCTTCCACCTATGTTCATCCAGGATGTTGGACTTCTCAATAGACACATGGAAGATAGTGCTGTCAGTCTGCTATGTATGCACAATGCTTTGGATTTTTGATGGAGATACTGCAGAATTGCTAAATATTCCTGCCTGCACCTTATGACCCAGAGAAGCAAATGAGTGTGTATGTTGGAGTGGGAGAATTTAAACTAAGGGCTCATCCAGATTGCCTTTTGTGCTGTGTTTCTAGGCACAGGTTTGGACTTTACAGCTCTACGTCTAAGCAGGGTTGTGTGCATGTGTGTGTGTGTGTGTGTGTGTGTGTGTGTCCGGGTGCTTCCCCCACAAAAACCCACATTTTACTGCTGAATCATTTGCAAACAGCAATCAGATTTTCCATGGTAGCCATATGCTCCAATTCAGTGACAAAATGCAGGTTTTCCCAGGGAAAGTGCTGGGACAAAAATGAACAAAAATCCATTCCAGACCTGTGCCTGGAAAGCACAGCACAAAAGGAAGTCCGGATGAGCTCTATCTGGTGCTGAAACATTCTTGGCTGCAGGATTTGTTGGAAGGTCAAAGCACACACAGTTTTTCAAAGGAGATTTTGAGTGTTTACTAAAATAAAAAGTCACCAGGGAACAGAGTAATAATATGGAACTGATTATCAAGGGATAGTGGGGAAGTCATTTTGTGTAACTCCACCTCCCTATTTAAAGGAAGTCTGTGGGGTTTGAAGGATAGTGTTGTCCATGCAGTTGTGTTCTCTTACTTGCAGTTTGGTAAGTGCTCTCTTTCCCTCTCTTAAATCAGTGAGATTATTAGCAGAACTTTATTTTAATCTTCATTTTACCAAAGAGGGAGACTGGAATATGGAGTTAGAAATTAAATAAATCTTAACAGCATGATTGCATAGAGGAAAGCTTGCACCTAAATTGGTTGCAACCCCTCTTATAGATTTCACATAAGAAGGACAAGATGAACTCCAGTATGACAGTGGGGAACTAGTTCTGGGACAACTCTCTCACTCTTCCCTTTTTGATACAAACTCAGGAGTTTGACATTTGCCAGACATTTCCTAGTTTAGATTCAGGTAGGTAGCCGTGTTGGTCTGACACAGTTGAAATTTTTTTTAAATGCAACCAACTAAGTTTGCATGCACACAAAAGCTTATACCCAGAACAAATTTAGTTGGTATCTAAGGTGCTACTGGACAATTTTTTAATTTCCTAGTTTAGGGAGCTTTGGCTGTAAAAGGCAGGGATGGTTCTGGTGTCTGGGATCCTTGGGCATAACTCTCCCTCAAAGAACCCCCCGTCCCAGTGAATCCACCACATTCTTGGTAACTGTTGCTGCTCCTGTGTTTCACCATTGTTACCTAGGGCTGAGGAAAATGTCTGATTCAGTTTGTCCTTACGGAACAACTTTAGCTGTTTCCAGCACAATATGTGAAATGAAATATAGCCATCCTTCAGAATTTTCACACATCCAAATTTTGCAATGGAGTTCTCTAGCCAAGTAATTTGCACAAAATATGTACATGCTAGAGTGAAATATGCATTTAGCTGTGAAATAACATGCAAAATGTGTTATATTAGGAGCAATCACATACACACTGTATATTGGGAGTAATTGCAAATAAAAATGTATATAGTAGAAATTCACACAATGCTGTTGAATTTTCATGAGGACTTTAAAATAGAAAATCATAAACTGATGTGGCAACATAAAGGAATGAACTCATTTTTTCCCCAAATGAGAAATGGATGAAAACTGAAATAGATGTATTTACCCATCTTTACTGTTGCATAATGGCACCCTTGGCTCACACCAGAACCTTCCCACCCACCCCAGGCCCCAACTGTCACTTTTCAACAGTTGCTTATGTAAAAATCAAAAGCTGATGTGGAAATGTAGAGAAGTGAACTTAAGACTGAAATAATGAGAAAGTGTTCCCTATTGCCACTGCCCACTTGCTTGCGAGACAGACTCAATGAGCAAGCAGGCCTTGGCAAATATTTTTCCTCCTTGTCATCACTGCAATTGTTTGCTTGCTCATTCCTTCTGGGGCAGTGCAGGAGGCAGGTGAACATGCAGGTGTTGTTGCTGTGGTGAAGTGGAAGAGCAGGTTCAAGGGAGGCTACTCTTCTTTCTCCTGGAAGATATCCCATGCTTGGGAAAAGAACTTGGGTTACCTTTTCCCCCTTGGCTTGGCAAAGAAGGCAGGACTGTTTCATTCAGTCCTGAAGGCAGCCTTAATCCATAATTTTGTTCCAAGGGACATGGGCTCTCCTTATGGTGTAACTCTCAGCACTCCAGAAGAGCATTACTGGGGGGTTTTCAGATGCAATATAGTGCAATATAGAAAAAGGAGGAAGACTACTCTGACTGGTGAACCCTATTTTCAGAGTATCAATCCTTTGTCTAATGAAACATCACCAACCATACGTAAGAAAGATGTACTGATAGGTTTGCAGAAAGAGAAGAAAAATATTTAGGGGGATAAAGTCCTAAAAGGGGGATCCCCTCCAAAAAAAGAAAAGGAAAAAATACCCAGCCCAACATGGACCGAACATGCTTGGTGTCTATGAAATGATAGCCAACTGTTGAAATGAGAGGAAATGGAAATATGGGGGAGAGGGAAAGTAGTATCCCCCCAAACGGGTTTGGCTGGGTGGAACCTTTTTAAAATATATATATATATATATTTATTCATTTTGCAATACAAAAATATAAAAACACATAACACAATTTTTCACAGATACATTTTTTGGACTTCCCTCAGCTCTTCTGCAAATCCTCCGTTTTAATCCTTCTTCCGCATTTCTTAATCCAATATTGCCTTTTATTAAAAACCTCCTCCCTCTTATTCCCTTTTTTACAATATTTCTAATAAGGCTGGCTGGAACCTTGCATAGAGGAGCACTCCACACTACAACATTTTGTTGCAAGTTGCACTTGTTCTAATTCTCAAGCATGGGTATGCTGGAATAGGTAGAGAAGGAAAACTAAACCTTCCACAATGACTGCTAACATAGGGCTGCCGGCTAGAAGGATAAGAAAATTAAGCAAGTCAGCCTTGCCTCCTCCTGTGCCTTTAACAGCAATATTAGGTATAGAAATCTGCAGGTGTAAGTTTTTATGCAGTGTAATGATGAACATTATCACCTGATGTGCTGCTTGCTGCCTATCAGCCTGTTCTTAAAGGAGCAGCTACAGAGGCTGGCCAGAAGTGTTGGCATACCAAGTGTGAACTACTTAACAGTCAGGTACCTTTTAAAAACAACATTTAGAGCAGCTCAGTGGTATATGATTATTATTCAGGTGCAAAGCACAACCAAACTACAGTATACCTGTGCATTTTCCTCCTTTGTGTATAGAAGCTTTCTTACTCAAAGTCACATTCCATGACATTTTTTTTTTTTTTTTTTGAAGCCTATATAGAATCATTTTGAAGCCTATATAGAATCATTAGAATTGGAATATTGGAAATTTGACAGCATTAATTCAGAAGAGAGTTATAGTCAAGTTTCATTATGCATAAGATGCATTATGAACAACAAAGCTTCATTTGGAGTGAGGGTAATAATAATAATAATAATAGACCTAAAGTCCCTGTTAAGGGCATAACTGCCCTTATCATAACATTGACAATGTTACAGGACTTCTCGGCAAAGGGGTCTCCATGTTCTAGAATTATTCTCTTCATAGTAGACTAATTGGTGAACACCCTATGGAGAGCAGCCATGCAGTCTACAGGGCAACTGGAAGAGAAATGAATGTGTATGGGGCAGAGCAGGGGGAGAAATTCAATCCAGTTTGCATTCAGAAGTGAACTTTTCTAATCCATACTTTCCAAAACATAACACAAAGTGAAATCCAGCCATTCTTCAAAATTCACATACCTCTAAATTTTGCAATGCAGTTCTCCATCCAAGTGATGTTTACTAAAAAGTCACATGCTGAAGTCTGCATATAAATGCATATATTAGGGAAAATTGTGCACAATTGCTGAAACTATCAGGTGCAGAAGTTCAAACTTACATCTTAGGAGAACTTTGCACTAAGATGCTGCTGAATTTTCATTAGTTGTTGTGTGTTTTTTAAAAGCAAACACAGAATGGTGTGGCAATGTTGGGAGCTGAATTTAAGATTGGACAGGGAGCAGAGAAAATGAGAGAAACTGATACTGACAGATTCACACATCGCTAGTCTAGGGTTCAAGGGGAGCCTGGACTGCTTAATTTTATTCTCACATAATTATCAGTCACTTTTGTAATCACTGAACATAGAATTTTGCATGACTTGAATATTTGAACTGCCCAAATGTACTTTCTGGACTTTCCATTTCCGCCCATGTATTTTTCTATTTTATGTCTGGCTGCCCATTTGTTTTTATTTTTACCCTGCAAACTGTGGCACTTGGGAGACAGCAAGTCTGGGATGTGAATGCTCACTTGGTGTCTTTGGATGGAGAGGGTAACTTCAGGTCTTGCTTAATGTCTTGGTGGCAGATGAACTTTGCATTTCAGTGAATGAGCCAGGATGAAGCATGTAAATAACCCTGAATGCTCCAAGCAGCCATTCTGGGTGTAATTCATCTGTACACTTGTGTATTATTAATATTATTATGAGTGGGGCTGATACTTAATTGTGAGACCTTTTGAGTGGTTCTGCTTTAAGTCTGTAGATCAGTTGGCATAGACCATGCATAAACAAAGGCACTTTATCAGGGTTGCTCCATAAGCTTTTCACACGTGCTGCTTCTCTCTGCCACTGCATTAGCGGGCAACTTGTTGCAAAATACTAGTATTGCATCTCCTTTATATGACCCCCACTTAAGTCTATTGTGAGTCTGCAGAGTAAATTAAGTTATTTTTGCCCTGCTGGTGGTGAAGGGCTCTCTATTAGTTGGTTGCTAGAAGGCCACTTACTCTTTTTCTTTTTTTCCTTCGAGGCAGAAGACCTTTTTGTGCCTATCGTCTTCCCTGTAGAGTTAGTCAAAAGGATATGAGAAGCTGTTCCAGAACACAGCAGAGTGACATCTTCATGCCAACATGGGTCACAGGCACAGCAAGTGGTCAGTCCATTCAAAAGAGAGAGAGCCTCACATTCCAAAAGAGAAGTACACAGCAACAACAATTCCTAGTTCACTTGATGCACCAAGATCACATGATACTTTCATGTGTATCCGTGACAATGATTCTTCCATGGCAAGTACAGAAGAGACAAGGCAACTGAGGGGTGCCAACATGGTTCCACAGGCAACGCAAGAAGAGGTGTTACCTGTTCAGCAGGAGGCTAAAGCCCAACCAGTTTCTGAGAGCCCTCAAAAGTACTTGAACCTGAAACAACCCCAGCTTACTGTAATGTTGGAGAAGGGGATTGGGGCATTTCAGCCAACCATAACAGGAGTGCATGAGGCAGAGCTTGCTACACAGAGGCCACCACATCTGGGAACTTATTTTCTTGTGACAGAGGAGATGCCATCTAAAGAAAGGGCCCTGGAAGACCAAGAGTCATTGGTCTTGACACCAAGTGGACAGTCTATGGAGCAAATATCAGAAGGTCCTCGTGAAAATGTCAGAAAGGTGGCAACGGCCATGAAAACTATCTGGACTGTAGATCATGAGGATGCAGAAGTTCAAACCACAACAGAGCTGGAGGAGCATCCCCACTGCTGTACACAAGGAAAACACCATGAAGAAGAAGATAATGAAGAAGACAATGATGAAGATGCTGCTGCTGACAGCAGTAGATTGTTTACCTCCTACTTACATGCTACAAAATGGACACGGTGAGGAACAAGGGGACCACCTTAAAAAGGAAACCACTGAAGGACACTGGGTTGGAATCATAGAGGAATCCTCATTAAATTAACCATGGAAGGAGCCTTAATGAAGCCCATATAATTCCCTAGTATGTCTAGGCTGCTGCAGAGATGAAGGAGCCACAGATATGAAACATTGCAGAAACGCCAATCAACTTCAGTCTGCCATAATACCCACCCCTTTGCCATGCAAGAAGAGTGTACATCTCCTCTGGAAATTCATTATCCAGAATTATTGGAGAGAGTTGAAGGGGAAATGCTGTCAGTGAACTGAGGAGGGGTTGGCTTAATAGGCCTGCTGTTACCTAGTTGACTACAGCAGACTCTAGATATCTGCATATGTTGGTCTAGTTAGCCTATAAAGTCAGACTTCTTTATTCTATTTTTACACAGATGAGGTGCTTTTTTTTAAGTACACTAATTGATCACATACTTGGTTTCATTTTTATGGGAAAAATCACCTTTGCTTATTACTTCAGAACACACTTCTTAAATGTGTTGGCACGAAAGATATAATCTCACTAGGCGGGGTGTTGAACATCTATTTTAGTGGTGTAACCTTGAACTTGACCTTTTAAAATATCTCTCAATAAACACTATTTTTGAAAAGCTTCCTGTTTTTTCTACATTATGTTTCAAATGGGTTCGGGATAAGTGTAGCTTCAAAAAGCTCTTAAAGCCACATGGGTCAGGAAACTAAAGAGAGTTGCCCTGAGTAAAGACACCTCTTTTTGTAGAAGAAAAGCACTGATAGCCAGGTACATTTTGGTTACATTTAAATACTGATTTCCAAAAATGGTTGTTTTTATATAGCTTTGAACACAGGGGCATCCTCAGTGAGAGCTAGCCACCTCTTTGATGTAGGACAGGGATGGGGAATACGTTCCCCTCCAGATGTTACGGGGCTCCAGTTCCATCAGCTGCAGCCCCAATAGCCTCAAATGGTTGGGGGTGATGGCAGCAACATCTGGAGAAGCACAGGTTCCCCATTCCTAATGTAAGGTAACTGCTTCAGAGACTTATAAAACTGACATGCAACTAGATCTATCAGGCTGATGTGATAGGCAGCGGGAGTTAAAATGTCCATGTATTCTGTCTTCTTCCAATGGAGTTCATCCTAATGAATCTGTCCTTTTTGTTTAAACTAGTCACCTGTCAAAGTAATCTAGACAACATCACATCTACAGTGCTTGGAAACAGAATCAATAGTTTCCTTCAGTTAAAAGTGAAATTCTATTGCTCTCAAGTGGAGAGTTGCTTCCCCTGTCATTCCACTACTCATCTACATTGGCTTCCAATGACATGGATTTAATGACTGCATTTGAGGTGTTGGGCTTGGAAAGGCATCTTGATGGGGAACATGCTCTAGTCCCAGAGCATTTTTCGGCTGAGACACCAGAAGATGGTCCGAGTGATGTTGTGTGTCTGGTCCTATAATTGTAGTAAGTTCTTATTATGCTGGTCTTGCCTTTCTTCTTAGTGGGGGGCTTTAAAACAGCAGTGAAGAATCTGGAGCAGTCCATAGGTTGTTAGACTCCCAACCTCCATCAGCCCCAGCCAATAAGGTCAATGGTCATGAATGATGTGAGTTGTTATCAAACAACACCTGGAAGATGACAGGTTCCCTATCCCTTACTTAAAAGATACACCTGAAACTTCCAGATTATCCAGTCTGGCACCCTTAAATTCAGCAGATCAGGTCAAGGTTTTTTCAGTGAGAAAAGTTTAAGTCCCAGCAATATTTTGGAAACCTAGAACTCCTGTGACAGTGCTTCCTAGGGAGTTCCATAGAACTCGGAATGTCTGTGAAAGCAAAGGACCAAGCTACAATGTCCATTGCTTTCCATCAGTTTGGGTCATGCTAGTATTTTAGCAGCCATGCACATGCAATAGAATCTTTCATTCAGGTCCCTACGATATCAGAAACAATTCAGAGCAAGGCTTTCAATTTGGCTGCCCTTGATCTGTGGGAAGAGCTGCCCTGCTGAGATTTGACAGGCATTCGCTATTTGTACTTTCTGGAAACAACTGAAGGCATTTTTGTTTTTGACAGGCTTTCCCTGCTAGGCAGCAGTGTGTGTGTGTGTGTGTGTGTGTGTGTGTGTGTGTTTGTCTTAGGTATTTATCTGTATTGTTTTTAACCCTTTTTGGCTTTTTTTATTGTAGGATTGTGAATCACTCTGAGAACTTAACATGAAAGGGAATTCAATAATAATAATAATGATGATGATGATGATGATGATGATGTGGTCTAGCTCACCCTTTACAAAACAGTTGACTAGCTCCCTAGGAACATTGTTGGGAAAATGAGGCACTGCTGAAAATAATGAGCAGCATCAGCATCTAAAGATTTCCCCTGATAGTAATGAATATGGCCGACTGTTCCAGCTTCCCGGGCTGCCTTGCCAAAATCTGCATTGTCTTGACCAATGGAGAGAAGGCTGGCCCAGTGGATTGTTTGTGTAGACAAATAAACACTTGGCAGGAGATCAGGCAATCCTGAATATTACTCGCACATTTTGCAGACTTGCATGACACATAGCAATGGGCAAAGGCAAGGGCTGGTCCAAATGATGAGTTTGAGAAAGTGCTCATTTGATTATGGCAATGCTAACTAGGCAGGGCTCCATTTCATTCTGAAATGGCAAATGCCTGATGTTTCTAGTCTAAGTGATTCCAGACTGCATTTGTTTGTTGTGTTTTTGTTTTGCTTTGCAGGTGCATTCTGCAATGTGTCATTTAAATAAGGATAGTGCATTAGTGGTGGATTCATACCAAACCATCCACACCTCATTCCCCTTTGTTACTTGCTCCGTGATGCTTCCCTAGTATTACCGAAACATCGCCATCTGGCACTAAGGTGCAGCAAAGGCAGGATGAGAAACAGACAGGAACATTTGTGGAGTGAAAAGTTGCAGGCATTCAGCAGGAAGCTACAGGACATGTGCTGACTAGAACCCAAGCTATATGTCCATCCTGAAACTTTTGCAGGTGCAAGCAGTATTGCAGGTGGAATCACATAAAACCAACCCAACACCACCATGAGCACAAATCATCATGGATGCACAATAAAATGGATGCCTGGAGGGGTCCTGACATGATACAGATGATCAGTGATTAGCATTTCCCATTGGGGAAGTGGTCTCTGGGAAAGGGTTGTTAACACTTTTTCTCCTTTGTATTTTTCCTGATTGACATGTGCACCACACAAAGCTGCTATTTGCACCAGAGGTAGAAAGCGTATCTGTTTGTTCCACCCAGGGACCTAATAGCAGCATTGGGGAAGATTTAATTCGGGGATAAATCTTAGGGTGGTAATATTGGACAATACCTCTTGGAGGATATTTCCCAATATTCAAAGTGGCCTCTGGGTGCTTCTATATAGTTAAAAAACAAACTGGAAGAGACACTAATCCCCTGCCTCACTTCTAATGGTTTTAGGCAACTTTCAGCAGCTCTTAAAGAAATAGGGACCCCTTTTTGGTCCAGAGAGAGCAAACCTACACCTTTATGATTTTATTCAGCACAACTGAACTTTGAGTTAATGAACTGATATTCTAGCCTTCCACAGTGCTGAATTTATTCAGGCTATCCAGCTTGGAAAAGCCTATCACCCTCCAGTCCCACGGGCAGAACGTAAGAGGTTTCCACTCGCACTCAATTGTACTGCTCCATTCAATTATTGACCTCTTGTTCCCCATTATTGGCACATTTTTAGAATTATTCCAATATGCCAGAGAGCTTCAAAACCAATTAACCTCAGTATATAATTCATCACAGTGCTGCTGCATAAATCAAATGGCTGTGTCAAGCAATTGGGGCCCAATGAGCCACACTCTACCTGGGAATCTCAGTATATAATATCAGGAAGGAACACTCATCAGGTGGAACTAATGTGTTGGAAGTTGGGGAAGATCTGGAGTATGACCACCTAGCTGTGTTTAAGAAGAGACTGCAGTAGGTGCTGTTAATAATAGAAGTGGGTTGCAGAAGCTCGGGGTTGTTTCAGACTGGTTCACTTGTCTGAATATTGGTTTATTGTTGCTAGGTCTCTTGAAGGTTATGATCCTAAATAGTTCTTTCTTCTCAGTAATATGTGTGGGATGGGGTGATACTGTCAAACAGAGGTTTTCCTACTGTTGCCTTTGCCTTATGCTGGTGAAGAGGGTTTCATTATATACTTTGCTCGCTATGATAATAGCTTTCTGTTCTACAGACTAAAAGCTGCATTGTATTTGGGTAGATGGGAAATAATAATAATAATAATAATAATAATAATAATAATAATTTATTATTTATACCCCTCCCGTCTGGCTGGGTTTCCCCAGCCACTCTGGGTGGCTTCCAACAGAATATTAAAATACAATAGTCCATTAAACATTAAAAGCTTCCCTAAACAGGGCTGCCTTCAGATGTCTTGCATTATCCCCTGATAATGCAACTGAAGTGAATCTATAGATAATGGGTAGGAACTCTTAAACCAGGGCTGCAAATATCCCTAAGCCTTAAACAGCTAGACATAAATGCAATGAATACCTTGTGTTCCAAGAAGGATGCAGTGGGTCTCCAACTAGTATACAATAATTAAAGACAAACTGTCTCTGCTGGCTGAGCTCCTGCTGTCCATCAAATGTGCAGTTTGGTGGGGGTCTTGCTGATGGTAACCCCACCAGCAGGGGTGAGTGGAAATGTCCAAAACATTATGAGGGTGGGGCTGATCCAGCCCAAGATCTGTCTATCCTTAGCAGGTATCACTGCCATCACACAATGGAATTAGATCCGACTGCTGGGCAAGTCTGGAGCTAGTGCGGGATCAGGCTAGTTGTCCTCTCCCTGCCATCTTCCACATCTCTGAGCAGCCAGACTATGAAAGTGCTGTTGCCCCAGTGCTTTGCAAAGCCATACTGGCAGGGAGTGGGCGTTTGGATTAAGAACACAAGAAGAGCCTGCTGGATGATGCCAGTGGCCCATCTAGTTCAGCATCCTGCCATCACAGTAGCTAATCAGATGCCTATGGGAAACCTACAAGCAGGACCCAATCACAAGAGCACTCTCTCCTCCTGTGGTTTCCAGCAACTGGTATTCAGAAGCATGGCTGCCTCGAACCACGGAGGCAGAGCATAGCCATTGTGGCTGCTAGCCATTGATAGGCTTGTCCTCCATCAAGTTCTCCAATCCTCTTTTAAAACCATTAAAGACTTGCACCCTAACTTGAGCATTAGAAGGGTTTGCTGGAAGAATTGAGTTCTTTCTTGCTGTTCACAAAAACTTTCCATCAGGCCACCTGAAGGTGAGTCACACCTGGCACCGACCATCAGGTAAAAAGCCATTTTGATAACTGCAGAAATGAAAGTTAGCTTGCCAAATAGACGGGCGAAACCTTGCTATGAAGTCAGTGGCTAAAAAAATCTGTGGGTGACAAAATATGTGTTCAGGTCCTTGCTGCTAGTGGATCTAACTATCCGGGAGGTCCTTGACCTCTTCATACAGGAAAGAAGTAGTTCTTATGCCTACAATGGTTCTCCATAAGC